ATTTGAAGTGTGCAACTTGTGAGCATTGTTACAGAAATTCTATAATGTATACCTTTTCACAGTTTCACATTCTTTAAGAACTGTCATTTAGTTTGTCTTGACTAAAGCTGTGTTGAAGAGTACAGTTTCATATACTTTGCATTTTGCTCATGTTTGTTAAATATGTATCTTGTTTTAACCATTTCCTTTTATGTCCCCAATTCCTGAAAAGTGGTTGGTTCACTGAAGCTTAAAAGTAGTGATGGAAATAGTAACACAAATACAATGCTAAATAATGGTGTAAGAATAAATGGCGCGGCCAGTGCCCCGGCTCAATAGGCTAATCCTCCACCTAGCAGCGCCGGCACACCGGGTTCTAGTCCTGGTCGGGGCGCCGGATTCTGTCCCGGTTGCCCCTCTTCCAGGCCAGCTCTCTGCTGTGGCCTGGGAAGGCAGTGGAGGATGACCCAAGTGCTTCGGCCCTGCACCCCATGGGAGACCAGGAGAAGCACCTGGCTCTTGGCTTCGGATCAGCGCGGTGCGCCGGCCACAGTGCGCCAGCCGTGTCGGCCATTGGAGGGTGAACCAACGGCAAAAGGAAGACATTATTTAAGACCTTTCTCTCTGTCTCTTTCTCTCTCACTGTCCACTCTGCCTTTCAAAAAAAAAAAAAAAAGGGCAAACAAAACTCAAGTGTGGATACTAGATAGGAATCTGTTATTTTCTGGGAAAAGTGGAATAACTAAAATTATGATCTTACACAAGAACCAAAAAAGCAAAGTATGACTAGAAGTATCATGCCAAATATCTAAAACTAGATACTGTTGTACCACGTATTCATTCATCGCTGTAACAAAGTGTTCCTGTCACTGAGCAATCTTGTTAAAGTGGCATGAAGCTGTTGAAACCTTCTGATTTTGTTTTTTAACCAAAGCACAGTGGCGTCTGGTAAAACAGTGTAGCTTTTCAATATGAATTGCTTGTTCAGCTTTCTTGCTCATTTTCTAACTGGCTTTTTGAAAAACCAATTTTTTTAAACTTTTATTTAATGAATATAAATTTCCAAAGTACAGCTTATGGATTACAATGGCTTCCCCCCCATAACGTCCCTTCCACCTGCAACCCTCCCCTTTCCCACTCCCTCTCCCCTTCCATTCACATCAAGATTCATTTTCGATTCTCTTTATATATAGAAGATCAGTTTAGCATACATTAAGTAAAGATTTCAACAGTTTGCTCCCACACAGAAACATAAAGTGAAAAATACTGTTTGAGTACTCGTTATAGCATTAAATCTCAATGTACAGCACACTAAGGACAGAGATCCTACATGAGGAGTGAGTGCACAGTGACTCCTGTTGTTGACTTAACAAATTGACACTCTTGTTTATGGCCTCAGTAATCACCCTAGGCTCTTGTCATGAGCTGCCAAGGCTATGGAAGCCCCCTGAGTTCACCAACTCTGATCATATTTCGACAAGGCCATGGTCAAAGTGGAAGTTCTCTCCTCCCTTCAGAGAAAGTACCTCCTTCTTTGATGACCCGTTCTTTCCACTGGGATCTCACTCGCGGAGATCTTTCATTTAGGTTTTTTTTTTTTTTTTCCCCCAGAGTGTCTTGGCTTTCCATGCCTGAAATACTCTCATGGGCTTTTCAGCCGGATCTGCATGCCTTAAGGGCTGATTCTGAGGCCAGAGTGCTGTTTAGGACATCTGCCATTCTATGGGTCTGCTGTGTTATCTCACTTCCCATGTTGGATTGTTCTCTCCCTTTTTGATTCTATCAGCTAGTATTTGCAGACACTAGTCTTGTTTATGTGCTCCCTTTGGCTCTTAGTCCTATCATTATGATCAATTGTGAACAGAAATTGATCACTGGGACTAGTGAGATGGCATTGGTACATGCCACCTTGATGGGATTGAATTGGAATCCCCTGGTATGTTTCTAACTACCGTTTGAGGTAAGTCAGCTTGAGCATGTCCCGAATTGCACATCTCTTCCCTCTCTTATTCCCACTCTTATATTTAACAGTGATCACTTTTCAGTTAAGTTTCAGCACTTAAGAAGAATTGTGTATTGATTACAGTATTCAACCAAAAGTATTAAGTAGAACAAACAAAAAAAATACTAAGAGGGATAACATATAAAGTTGCTCATCAACAGTCAGGGTGAGGGCTGATCAAGTCACCGTTTCTTGTAGTGTTCATTTCACTTTAACAGGTTTCCTTTTTGGTGCTCAGTTAGTTGTCACCTATCAAGGAGAACAAGTGGTATTTGTCCCTTTGGGATTGGCTTATTTCACTCAGCATAATGTTTTCCAAATTCCTAACAGGGATCACTTTTCAGTTAAAATTTAAACACCTAAGAATAATTGTGTGTTAATTACAGAGTTCAACCATTGGTACTAGAACAAAAAAATACTAAAATGGATAAAGTATTACATTGTACATCAACCGTCAGGACAAGAGCTGATCAAGTCACTGTTTCTCATAGTGTCCATTTCACTTCAACAAGTTTCCCCTTTGGTGCTCAGTTAGGACTGATTTTGTTTGAGTTTCAAGAGTTAAGCCAACTTTGAATTTCTGGAATAAATCCTACTTTGTCATGATTCTTTTTCTTTTTATATACTTATTTATTATTTAAAACATAGCATCTGTGTTCATGAATGAAACTATTCTGTAATTTTCCTTTCTGTACTGTTTGTGTTGAATTTCAAAATCAAAGTGATACCTCATAAGAAAACTGGGAACTGGGCCCTCTTTTTCTGTTTTTGGCTGATTATGTGTATATGTGTAAGACTATCATAAATCTTCCTTAAATATTGGATGGAACTTACTGGAGAAAATCAAATTTCCTTGTGGAAAGGTTTTTGAAAATTGGATTTTAATTTCTTTATCTCTTATAGTCCTGTTTAGTTACAGGCTTAGTCTGTGGTGATTTTGGTAATTTATATTGTTTAGAAAATGTTCCATTTTATCTAAACATTTATCAGTTAGCTTAAAATTTTTCTCAGTCTTCCTTATGAATTTGTAATATTGCAGAAACAGTGGTGATCCCTTTCCTGTTATTTATGTCTTACTTATTTCTCGATTAGCCTTAACCTTTGGTTTATCATTTTGCTAGTGTTTTCAGGGAACAAGCTGTTGACTTTTTTAACTTCTCTGTTGTAGTTGGTTTTTTCTTTCCTCAATTTCTGCTCTTGTCCTTATTCTCCAGGTTTATTTTGCTGTTGTATTTATCACTTCCTGAGATGGGTGTTAGACCATAACATCTATAAGCTGTTGCAGCTTTTAGACTTTCCTTCAGCTGTGTCCTTCAAGTTTTCATATATTTTCACTATTTTTTATTCAAAACATTTTCTGATTTCTACTGGGACTTCTCCCCCAGGTTATTTTGATTTATATGGTTTAATTTCTAAAGTCATGATTAATTGCTTGTTCAATCACTTAAATGAAACCAGTGTATAAAAACGAATCCCACTATAGTTGTGTATTTTCAATTTCTCCTTGTAGTTCTGTCCTTTTTTTCTTTATTAATTTGTGTCTTCTGTTTTTATTATTTCTTAGTGCTTGCATCTCTAAAACAACATGATGTAACTCATAGAATGTACGTGTTACTGTAAGGTGTTTGATGTATATTTAAATATTATACACATGTAAATTGCTCACAAAAGATAACTGTGGAATAGTTCTGTTGATAAAGTTACTATTTATTGGATAATTACTGATTAAACACTGGCTTACATACATTATCCTGCTTAATTTTCTTTTTTTTTTATTTCATTAATGGAAAAAATAATTGCTACCATGGTAACAAAATGGGATGCAAAAGACATACAACTTTTTTTTATTTTTTATTTACCTATTTATTTTTGATAGCATTTTTAGGTTGTAAAAGAATGCAAGCCCATTGTAATGAATTTTAAAATTCAGAAAAAATGATAAGGAAGAGAATAAAACCCATAACTGCATCATCCATAAGCAGCTATCCTGCTTAATTTTCAAAACAACACTGTGAGGTAGTTGATACTCTTTTTTTTTTATTTTTTATTTTTTTTGACAGGCAGAGTGGACAGTGAGAGAGAGAGACAGAGAGAAAGGTCTTCCTTTGCCGTTGGTTCACCCTCCAATGGCCGCCGCGGCCGGCGTGCTGCGGCCGGCGCACCGCGCTGATCCAATGGCAGGAGCCAGGAGCCAGGTGCTTTTCCTGGTCTCCCATGGGGTGCAGGGCCCAAGTACCTGGGCCATCCTCCACTGCACTCCCTGGCCACAGCAGAGGGCTGGCCTGGAAGAGGGGCAACCGGGACAGAATCTGGCGCCCCGACCGGGACTAGAACCCGGTGTGCCGGTGCCGCTAGGCGGAGGATTAGCCTAGTGAGCCGCGGCGCCAGCTGGTAGTTGATACTTTTACTGATGAAACCCCAAAGATTAGAGAAGTTGAATAATTTGCACAAATTGGCACGGCTGGAAAATGATAGGGTTGAGTTGCATACCCCATTTTGTCTTGGAGTCCTCTGCTATTAACAACAATATTGTACTAATCTTTGTGTATCAGTTCTCTTCAGGGACTACTTTATAAATCTTTGTAAACTTGGGATGCATTCTGAACTTTATGATAAATGACATGGATATGAATGGAAGACTTTCCAATGTTTTAATTAAAATAAGGGATACTGAATATAGTTATAACATTAATTCATTAAATTTTAGTTTTCTGTTTTGACAAATAATACCAATTTAAGGTTTCAAAAAATTAAATGACATATAAATTTGTATGGATGAAAAATCTACTATCCTGAGATAACCCCTCATTGACATTTTGAGACCGTTTTCCCGTGTGTATTTTCACTTGTGTGTGTGTGTCTACATATATAATTACATAAATGGTGTCTTACTTACTGTTTTTATTTCGGACTGAATTGTTTTATTTTCGAATGCTAGGGAATAGAATGCATTGCTCTGTGAGGTAAGGAGTTCCTTTTTACCAAACTATCCTTCAGTGTTGTCCTTTAATCTTACCAGGTCAAGGTAGGCAATGAAGTTGCCACAGGAACAGGACCTAATAAAAAGATAGCCAAAAAGAATGCCGCAGAAGCAATGCTCTTACAGCTTGGTTATAAAGCATCGACTAGTCTTCAAGATCAACTGGACAAGGTGAGAGTTAAGTTTACATGTGTATGTTCTTTCTCACAGAATATTAAAATGATTAACAAATTCTGATCTCAACTGCTATTAAATTAGATGTCAATTTTTGTTTTTCTGCGATAGTATTCTGTATCTTTAAAGATAGCTTCTATAAGCACAAAACAGCATTTACCTGAGAGGTAAAATGAAATACTAATAGATGATTAATAAGTAATTATACTCTTAATTAACAAATACTAAAAATTTCTTACATGGTTGTACATATCCTATTACCAGTTTAATTTTTTTTAACTTACCATTTTTGGCCACTCAGTTGTTCTTGTCTGCAGACACGGTCTTAATTTGTGCCTTTTAAGAACAGAGGTTGTTAGCCTTTATTTTTGGACTACAGCTGAAAACATGGGAACTAAAAAATCTAACTTATCCCTTTAGGGCAGGGACTGCATTGGACAGACACTCTATAAATAATTTTTGTATTTACTTAAAATCTGAAGGTAAACTCAGAGAGTGTTTATTTTCTGCCAAGACCTGTGTTCGGGCCCCTGTTTCTTCTGCAGCAGTTAATGACATCATTAACACCCACCCCTGTTGCAAGAAGCAGAGAACCCCAGAGTCAGGACTTGGCAGATGACTTGGAAGCTCTGATTTAGTTTTATTCCATATAAGGTTATCATTTTCTTATCTGTGCATGTGTTAAAGTTACTTCTATTTGACATTTTATTTGTATGAAAATTCACAAAAAAAGGCTCAAGAGTAATATATTTTGACCAGACCATCTCACATAAGGATTTTGTGTCAGAGGTATTCTTTAGTTTCTACAGGAATGTACTTCTGAAATTTAGAGTAACAAACAAAATTATCTGTTTAAAAACATTGAGCTACACTATTCTTTTTAAGGCAGCTATGATTCTTTTGAAGGCTTAAGAAGTCATTTCTCTACATAGTATTGCTTGAGATTTTAACTGTTTTTATAACCTGACCAGTCAGTGCTTTTCCTTCTTTTAAAAGTATTTGTAACATGAAACCTAACATATGTTCAAGTTTCCCTAGTTCTTAAATTGATAGTGTATATGTTGTTTTAACTTAACACATTTATATTGACTTAAAACTGGTGAGTGATTTATAAAAATATGTTAAAGTAAATCCCCTCATAGACATTTATTTCTAACTTAGGTGAAAGCAAAACAAAAAAAGCAGAAAAAAGCAAAAAGCAGAACCCATTAATTTTGTTGATTTCATTAATTTGAGAAACATTTTTTGCATGCCTACTGTTTTAGTCAGTTTCTCCTGAGAAACGGAACCAACAGGATGCTGTGCTTGTATGTGCATGTGCACTCATGCTCACGTGCACGGATTAATTTGAAAGAGTTGGCTCATGAGATTGTGGAAGCTGGCTAGTCCAAAATCTGATGGGGGAGGCTGGCAGGCTGGAGACTGAAGACGGAGTTGCAGTCCTAGGCCAAAGGTAGTCTTCTGGAGACTGCTCTTGCCCAGGGAGGCCAGCATTCTGTTCTCTGAGGTCTTCAAGTGATCATATAACGTGCACCCACACTGTGAAGGGCGATCTGCTTTACTCAGGAGTCCACCAGTTTAACTGTACATCTCATCCCCCTCTCACAGAAGCACCCAGGATATTTGACCAAGAATCAGGGTGCTCCGTGACCTAGCTGGGTTGGCATGTGTGGTTAACTGTCATACCCACCAAATGCCAGACACTTAAAACTGAATTAACAAGATGACTGAAAACTCGGTCCCTCCATTCAAGGAACTGACCACCAAGGGTTAGGAGTGAGGAGTTTTTATCATAAAACAAAAGTTACAATACTGTGGTTCCTGGAGAGCACAAGGATGAATCTGGAAGTCAGGCGAAAAGAAAAGAACTTCAGGAATCATTCAGTGAGGCTTGAATGTGAAGGTTAGTTGATGTGGTTTGCATTCTTCAAACAACAGTTCTGTAAGTAATGGGGAGAATGGATTTGAACAGATTGACACTGAAGGCAGGGAGGTCAGTCAGGAGGCCAGCAGAGATCCTGAGGGTTTGAATTAAGACAATAGGTGGTAGAGAGGAGAAGAAAGACCCTGGAGCTGTTTCGGAAGCGTTGGTAGGTAAGATGGAGTAGCAGATGGTATGCACGGAGGATACCAGAAGAAGGAAGAGGAAAGGATAACTGCAGAAAGGAGGAGTAGAAAATGATGATGTAGTAGGTGGTAGTCATACCCTGTACAAGGATCAGATAAGAGAAGGACTGAAGATACTTACGGTTAATAAGATGTTCGAGGGGAGGGTTGGGGGTGATGCAGGCATTTGACTTAACAATTAGGATGCTGCTTGGGACACTGGCATCCCACATCAGAGTCCCTGGATGCAAATCCCAATTCCTCTCCTGATTCCAGCTTCCTGCCAGTGGGCAGTGGGTAATGGCGCCAGTGCTTGGGTCCTGCCACCCATGTTGGAGACCCAGATTGAGTTCCTGGCTACTGCTTTGGCCTGTCCCAGTGCTGGCTGTGACTAGCACGTCTCCCTGCCTTTCAGATAAAGAAATCTAGAAGAAAGAAAAAGATCATCTCTGGTGAGTTTAGCAAAAGCAGGTGTTTTTGGTTTTTTTGACAGGCAGAGTTAGACTGTGAGAGAGAGAGGGGGAGACACAGAGAGAAAGGTCTTCCTTTCCATTGGTTCACACCCAAATGGCTGCTACGGCTGGCACTGCGCTGATCTGAAGCCAGCAGCCAGGTGCTTCCTCCTGGTCTCCCATGCGGGTGCAGGGCCCAAGGACCTGGGCCATCCTCCACTGCACTCCCTGACCACAGCAGAGAGCTGGCCTGGAAGAGGAGCAACCGGGACAGAATCTGGCGCCCCAACCTGACTAGAACCTGGGGTGCCAGCCCCGCAGGCGGAAGATTAGCCAAGTGATCGCGGCGCCGGCTGCAAAAGCAGGTTTTTTAAAACCTATTTTAAATTTCTTTCTTTTTATTTACTTGAAAGGCAAATACACAGCACATGCGTGTGCACATGCGCACACACACACAGAGGGAGAGAGACAGACAGAGACAGAATCTTCCATCTACTGGTTCAGTCCCCAGATGCCTACAGCAGTCAATGCTGGGCCAGGCTGAAGCCAGGAGAGATGAACTCGATCCAGGTATCCCATGTAGGTGAAAGGAACTGCCTCCCATGGTGTGAATTAGCAGGAAGCTGGACTGGAGATATATTTTTTTATTTTATATTTTTAAAATAGACGAGACATGTGCATAGTTAAAAAAAATTCAAACATCACAGATTAAATTGTGAGCACAGTTTAGACTCATTTTTCCTTGAGATCCTCGGTCTCATACTCTTCTTTGACAAAGGCGTCTCTCGTAATAGCATTTGTATAGCATTTAAAATAGTGTCTGAAATGCAGTATCTTTTACATAAGGAATAAATAAAAATTAAATACCCTCATGAAGATATTCTGTGCTTACACATTAACATACTGTCACTTTGTAAAAAAAATCAGATTTACTGAAGAGTGCAGCTCAGTGAGTTTTGAGGAATGCATGTATTTACTCATTAGCCACCACCATAATTTTAATATCCCTGTGGTCCCCTACGCTAATCACCTGGTATGTGTTTGCCTTTTCTAGAATGGCATATACATCAAACCATATGTATACGTTTTTCTTGTGTGATTTCTTATTCCTTGGCATAATGCTTTTGGGAGTCATCCATATCATTGCATTTATCATTAGCTTGTTCTTTTTCATTGTTGTATTCTTCACCAACATTTGGTTAGGCTTGAGTCTTTATAATACAGCAGTTAGAGCATTCATGGACAAATCCTGACATGCATGTATTTCTCTGTTATATCCTGTAACAAGTGCATGTTTTACTTCATAAAATGAAGCCATTTTCCAGAGAGGCTTGCCATTTTGTACTCCTGCCAGCAGTATTTGAATATTCTTGTTGTTCCACATCCTTTCTTGTTCTTAATATTGTCAGTCTTTTTTAAAAGATTTATTTACTCATCTGAAAGGTGCAGTGGCAGTGGGATGGGGGAGAGAGAGAGGGAAAGAGAGATCTTCCATCTGCTGGTTTACCCTTCAGATGTGCACAGTAGCCAGGACTGGACCAGACTAAAGTCAGGAGCCAGGAATTCCATCAAGTCTCCAACTTAGGTGGCAGGGCAATCATCTGCTGTTTCCCAGGTGCATTAGTGGGAAGCTAGATAGAAACCAAGGAGCCAGGACTGCAACTTGCCCTCTGATATGGGACATCTACATTTCAAACTGCAATTCAACCCCCTGTGCCACAGCGCCCTCCCTGGCATTGTCAAATTTGTGTTAAAGATTTATTTATTTGTTTGAAACTCAGAGTTGCAGAGAGAGAGGGAGAGACAGATACAGAGATCTTCCATCCACTGGTTCGTTCACTCACCAGATAGACTGCAACAGCCATGGGTGGGACAAGCCGAAGCCAGGAGCCAGGAGCTTCATTGGGGTCTCCCACATGGGTATCAGGGGCCCAAATATTTGGGCCATTTTCCGTTGCTTTTCCCAGGCCATTAGTATGGAGTTGTGTTGGAAGTGGAGCTTGGAAGTGGAACAACTAGGACACAAACCTACATCCATAGGGGATGCTGGCGGCAGTGGCTTGTCAGTTTTGGTAGTATGTGTATAATGCCATCTCATTAGATTTTAACTTACATTTATTTAATAACTGATAATGATGGGTGTTTTATCATGTGTTCTTCCTTGAAGTGTCTGCTCAAAATTTTTACCTTTTAAAAAAGTTGGATTGTTTACTTTCTTATTGTTCTAAGGATACTTATATATTTCATATAAAAGCCACTTATCAGATACATGTTTTACAGTATGTTCTTCCACTGTGTGGCTTGTCTTTATTTTCATAATAATGTCATTTGAAGAGCAAGTGTGGGCCGGCGCCGCGGCTCACTAGGCTAATCCTCCACCTTGCGGTGCCAGCACACCGGGTTCTAGTCCCGGTCGGGGCGCTGGATTCTGTCCTTGTT